AGATGGGGCGTCCCCTGCGCCGTGGGGTGTGTGGGACAATCGGATGTGGGGGGGCTTCAGGAGAACTTCCCTTCGAGTGACCGAACTCTCGCTGTCCCGTGGCGGGGGGCCCGCCCCCCCCCACCTTTGGGGGGAGGGGCCCCGGGAGAGGCGGGGGGGGGGGCCCAGGGCTGGGCTGGCAGGGGGCTGCGGGTCGGGAGTGAGGGGCACCGGCAGAGCTGGGGGGAACCCAGAGGCCTGTGGGTTGGGAGTGGGGGGCACCAGTAGAGCTGGGGGGGGGCCCAGGGCTAGGCTGGCAGGGGGCTGCGGGTCGGGAGTGAGGGGCACCGGCAGAGCTGGGGGGAACCCGGAGGCCTGTGGGTTGGGAGTGGGAGGCACCGGCAGAGCTGGGGCAGAGGATGTGGCAGTCTCCGATTTCCAGCTCCACATACATTCACCCCTTTTGCCAGGGTTTTGCTGACCACTTGGCTCATCGTAGCAAAGCCCGGGGGCGGAGGGGGACTCGCTCCCTGTTGGAGTAGATGGGGCGTCCCCTGCGCCGTGGGGTGTGTGGGACAATCGGATGTGGGGGGGCTTCAGGAGAACTTCCCTTCGAGTGACCGAACTCTCGCTGTCCCGTGGCGGGTGCCCTGCACCCACCTACTTTGGGGGGCAGGATCCACTGTGGGGGAGCCCCAGGCTCTGGGGAGTCACAGATTCTTCCAGCGCCCCCTACGCTTCCGAGTGGGGATCCCCTTCCTTCGCTTCAGTGGCGGGGAGCTGCGGCAAGGGTGGGCCTCGGCGGGGAGGACCCCTTGGGATTGTCCCGCATTCTCCGCCGGCTCAGGGGACGTTTCCACCTTGGCGGCGAAGGTCTCGGCGGGGAGTGGGCTCTTGGCGGGGGGTGCTGGCAGTGGGGAGCCGACGGGCGCCTGCTGGTGGAAGAGGCCCCCCCGGGGGGCGCCCAGGCCGGGTCCCTGGGCCGGGAGGAGGGGCAGGAGGGCGGCTACCACGTTGGTGAGACGGTCCAGGCTGTGGTGCACGGTGTAGGTCAGGTCGCGGATGGCCTCGGCCGTCTCCCGTTGGGCAGCCAGGAGATCCAGCGAGGGCTCCGGGGGTGGCTCAGGGCGCGGGCGCCGGCGGCGGGGTGGCGGGGAGCCCGGGAGCCGCTCCCTGCATGGCTGCTCTGTGGGCGAGTGTCCCGGGTGGGGCCGGCGGCCCAGCCTGGCCGGCGAGGGTGCCAACCGCACGATTTGCAGAGAGGGCTCGGCCGAGGGGGGCGCCGGCGAGTCGCGCTCCTTGGGCCGCAGCAGGACCCCGTCCAGGGTGCAGCACGGGGGCTGGACCGAGGGCTCGGGGCTGGAGGAGACCTTGCCCCCGGCCAGCGTCTCTGCAGAGAGAGAAGAGAGAGCGTCGGCTGGGGGCTGTGGGCACAAGGCAGGTCACTCCCCAAAGAGTGTTCCCCCCCCCCGGAGTAGGATCTGTTTCCCAGCTGTGGTGGGCGAGACTGTCCCCTCCGGTCTATTCCCCCCAGGGGGTGCGGAACCACCCCCTCCCGCCCATCTCCCAGGGGTTAGCCCTCCTGAAGTTGCCTCCAGGTCCCCCATTCGGCTTGGCTCCCAGAGGGGACGGGGTTCTGTCACCAGGGCCGCCTCAGCAGAGCTGACTGCCCCCCACCTCCCATGCCCTGCACCCCCCCTCCCCCATGGCCTGGGCCCAGGACTCCTGGGTTCTGATCCCAGAGTGGGCACCACCCGGCAGTGGAGCTGTGAGGAGCAGGGCAGGTTGGTGGCATGGTCAGTACTAATTAACGAGCTGTGCCCCGAAGGACCCGCCCCCCCCCCCGAGAGATGGCGTGAGTCCCTCCAAGCTCAACTCACCCATGCGGAGTCAGGGGGAAGCAACCAGCCAAGTGGGTCAGTCGAGGTTTCTGTCATGCCCCAGTGTCGTGCTAGGGGGCGCTGTGAATGACTGTGTGTGCAGCCCTGCTGGGCCCCACTGCACCCCCTCACACCACAGGGGGGCTGGTGCTGGCTGCCATGGGACAGAGCCCCCGACCCCTCTCCCTGCAGCACAGCGCCCCCTACTGCCCCACTGGGGTCAGCACTGACTGCCAGGGGAGAGCGCCCCCTGCTGAGCCCATGCCATGCTCCCTGCAGCACAGCGCCCCCTAGTGCAGCACTGAGACATTGGGGTCAGCACTGACTGTGAGGTGAGAGTGCCCCCTACTGAGCTCCCACCCCACAGTACCTGGGTTTCCTTTGGCACCAGACAAGCTCTCTCATCTCAGCTCTGACTGTACCCCACGGTGCTTAGCTTGGCAGCCCCGTGTGAGACAACACAGCTCCTGATGCCCCCTCCAATCCCACAATTACTGTCTGGTTCATGGGGGAGTGTTACCAAGCCCCCCTCGCTCTGGTGGTAGCAGTGTACCCAGCTGGGGGAGTTGGTTCTGCCCACCGATGGGTGGCACGGTCCCGTCCCGGGGTGGGCACTCACCAGAGCCGTGGTGGTATCTGTGGGCGAAGGCTGTGGGGTGCTGCTCGGCCCCACCGGGCCCCATCACCACGCCGGGCCCCAGGATGGCGAAGATGGTTTCCTCCTCCGCCGAGAAGGTCTCCTCGCTGGCAGCCGTTCCCCCGGCGCCCTGGGTGGAGTGGGGCACCCGCGCCAGCTTCTCCTTGGTGCGTCGCTTGAAGTCATTCCAGCGCTTCTGCACCTCCTGGCCCGTCCGCTTCCAGCTGGTGATGGCGTTGATCTTGGCGGCGATGCCCTCCCAGACGCGCCGGCGCTCGGCCACCGTCACCTGCCGGCTCTGGGCACCGTACAGCTTGGTGTAGTGGGCGCGCACCTCCTGGATAAGGATCTGGTTCTCCTCGTAGGAGAAGCGGGGCTTGCGCAGACGGGTGATCTCCTCGGCGTCCCCGGGCATGCCTGGCGCCCAATGGGGAGGGGTGGCTGGGGGGTCCCCGGAGGGCGTGGATACCCTGCACGGCGAGGCGGGCCCCACGGTGGTGCTAGAGGAAGGGGGCACCGTGCCAGGCAAGACGGTGCCCTGCAGATCTCATAGACTCATAGACTTTACGGCCAGAAGGGACCATCATGATCATCTAGTCTGACCTCCTCTCCGCTGCTCCCTTCCCTCCCCGGCATGCAGCCGAGCCCCCCACCCTGCTGGGGGGGGGTCTGTGCCCTGCAATGCGCGCCCCTGCCCACGCCGGCCCCTGCTGCAGCCCGGCGCCAGCCTCCCCCGTCCTTCCTCCGCCCGGCTGGCTCCGTCCCCTCCCATTCCCTGGCACCGAGCATGCTCACTCCCAGCCCGGCTCCCAGCAGGCCAAGGGCGCTCGGTTTCCCTAGCAACCCTGGCTGGGTCCCCCTGCCAGTCCCTCCCCCCCC